AAAATAACTAAATGAATAACTAAAATAAAATCGTAATTTACGTCATTTGTCACTACAGTTGTTTAAAAATGAAATTTATGGAATCAAAAATATGTATCTTTATCATATTGGGAAAAACAAAAACAAAACACATCACACGACCATTTTTAAATTTCTTAGTTTCATCCATTTCTTAGTTTAAACATTATGATTGGATTTTTTTTTGTGTACGTCAATTGATTATTGTTATCATCATCGTTTGACGATAATAATAATGATGATGGACAAAAGAAATTGAAATTCAATATGTTTTCCTTGATAGACCCACACAAGCAAAAATAAATAAACAAATTGCAAATAAAGAGCAAAAAATGATTCGATTGATATCAAAAATCAATTTTTCTTGATAATTTTATTTTTGTCGGAAATTTATTATTTAAAGAGGTTTCGAGTTAGTCATAACTTCTTATTATTATTTTTTTGTTTGTTTGTGAATTTCCAATTAAAAAATCAATCATGCGTTTTTCGACTATAATTTTGTTTGTGTGTGTATTATTTGTGGCCAATTTTGGTCGTAATGATGCAAAAAGACAACATAAAAATGAAAATGTGAAAATAAATGAACAATCAGTTGAATCGGAAATCTGCGATGTTGATCAATGCGTTGTAAGTGTGTTTGCTTATTTGAAATGATGATAATTTTTCCCATTTTTTTCCACCAGATTTCTAATGATGAAAAACAATCCGCATCAACAACGAAAACACCAAAAGAAATTATTGTTGAAGATATTATTGTGGAAACAAAAGCACAACAAGATGAGCTTATTACACAACAACAACAACAACAAGAGAATCAAACCGAAGAAAATATTACTGAAAAGAAAGAGGTAAAAGAAAAAACATTGGTTGATGGAGAAAATAAAAAAACAAAGAAAAAATCGAAACAAATCGAAAAGGAAATGATTGAAACAAAAAAATCAGATTCTAAATTGAAAGTTAAACGTGATATCAATGAGAAAAAATTCAATGAAGATCAATCGATTGAATCACAATCGATTGATGGTCAAGAACAACAAACCAAAAAAACGGGGGTTGAAAAATCGAAAAAAGCAAAAAAATCCAAACAAAATCAATCGGATCAAACAAAAGAATCGAAAACAAAATTGAAATTAAAATCAACAAATAAAAAGAATAAAAAAAGTAAAAAGAAGAATGGAAAGAAACGTAAAAATGTTAAAAATTGATTAATTACAATTGAATGATGATGATTTATTTTGTTGTAAATAAATTGGATTTTTTTAACTTGAATTATTTGAATAAAAACAAAAAGTTTTATCGAAAAAATAGAATTGTTTTTGAAAATTTTTTTCAAAAATTCAGACATGTCCTATATGAACGGCATTTGAATTTAAAATTCATGCGCATAAATCCACGTGTTTGCATGTTTTGATTTTGATTTTGATTAATGTTTACTTTTATTTTTGTCAAATTAAATAATTTTTTTGGTTTTTAAAAAGAAATGGGTAAAGCACGTGGAGTTTCCAAACGACGAAAGAAAGCCGGATCATTTCATTATAAACGAAGTAATAAATTAAAACGTCAACGTTTGAAAGAATTACGTAAAGGTGGTTCGATTAATTGTGATGCTGTTCGTCAATCATGGGATCCAAAAAAATCATTAATAAAAAATATGAAAACAATGGGACTTGCTGAAGATCCGAATAAATTACTAAGTGATGTTAAATTTTATGAAAAATTCAAAAATCCCGCATTGAATAATGATCGTAATGAAAGTATTGTACAACGTTTACATAGAAAACTAGAACGAAATCATCAAAAAACATTGAAGAAAAAAATGAAAAAATCCAATGAATTTGCTGTTGAAAATGTGGCTGAAAAATCAACAACAACAACCACAAAAACAACAAGTGTTGCAGAAAAATTAGCCGAAATAGCATCACAACCAGCGACGAAAAATTTTCGTTTTAGTCCTGATCAGATTAAATTCTGTGCATATATGATTGAAAAATATGGCGAAGATTATGATGCTATGTGTCGTGATAAACGAAATTATTATCAAGAATCTGCTGGACAAATTCGTTCAAAAATTCGTAAATTTCTTTCAATTCCATCACATAGAAATGTATATGAAATGGCAAAGAAAATATGTGAAACTCAAATTGATTGAATTGAATTACGTTGGAAATCATCAGATGAACAAATATCTTTGTATTTCTTTCAAATAAAACATACATTCATTGTTAATTAATATAATAAAAACTATGAAAACGAACTTGACAATCAAATTGGTTATGGTTTTGGCATTCAAAAATGAATAAAACAAATCAGCCTAACAAGCCATAACCTTCAAATGAATTCAATGTTTTTTTTTCGTTGTTGTTGTTAATAAAAACAATTCCTATTTGATTAGTTCGTTAATTGATTTTCTGTAATCATAACTGATGAGGATGATGATAATGAAATATGCACCAAATTTTACCCAATTTGCTATTGCATCGTTTTATCGAAACACACACTCTCGCATATCAACCAGAGAAAATTGACATCCATATGAAAACCAACAGAAGAGGAAAAAAAATTCACCTGTAAATCTTTGTCAATTTCAAAAAAAAAAATTTCATTGACGACGATATAGAAGAGAACCGTCATATCGTTGTGATTTTTTTTTTAGTTTTAGATTTTTTTTTTGATTGAACCAGATTCATGTCCTTGAATATTTATCTTAGTTTATTACTAATGATGATGATCGTTGTCGTTACCGTCGTCGTCGTCGTCGTCATCAATGAATGATGACGCTTATTAGAATGTCTGTTTGAAACTTTTTTCAAAAAAAGCAAAATTCATTTTAAAACTGTCATTGTGTGTGTGTTTGTGCTTTGGATGTCTTTTTTAAATAATTTTTTCTATTGTTTTTTTAAAGAAAATTGGTCAATTTTTTTCAAAACAAAAATCTCAATATGCTGGACCCAACAACAACAACAACAACATTGATTCCATCGATGAATATCAATAATCATCCAACGGCTTCAATGTTACTTTTATTACAATTATTTAATATTTCCAAAAGAAATTCAGCTAATGATATCGGTTTTCATCATCAAAATGATTCATCAATTGAATTTGTTAATAATGATAATAATTCTTCATCATTACAATTCACACCACGATTTAATCTAATGAATTATCAACAACAATTAATGCAATTACATCCATTATTAGCACTGATTTATTCAAATAATAATAATAATGATCAGGAAAAAATTTATTCAAATTTTACTGGAATTTTTGAACCATCACAACAGCTTTCGTATACAAAACCAACAACGATAAAACCACATTGGAATCATCATCATCATCATAATAATCATTTATGTTGTACATCGAATTGTGGTCTGAATATTGATCATTTTTATTCGAATGGACGTATGCCAAATGAATTTGACATAACAAATTCTAGTCCATTTAATTTTCGTCGAAATCAACTAAGAATTGTTGGTGGACAAAATATTGATATTGGAAAAATACCATGGCAAATTTCATTTCAACGATTACGTGGTCGTTATTCAACAAATTATAAACATTTTTGTGGCGGTGCAATCATCAATCCAGAATGGATTATAACAGCAGCACATTGTTTTGGATGGTAGGCCAAAAAAAAATCAAATTCAATTTTTTTCATATTTTCAAAACAGAAAATTCATTTTTCCCTTATATATAGGCTTAGAGGTAATCCAGTAAAAGCGAATCAAATGGAAAGTTTAAGAATGGTTTCCGGAACGAATACAGTTTTACCAAATGAATATAATTTTATTAATAATAATGATCATAATCAAATTATATCAAAAATTGAAAAAGTTATTAAATATCCATTATATCGAAAAAATTCATCCAAATATGATATAGCATTGGTTAAATTATCTAAACCATTACCATCAATGTTACCGAATTCCCGGACCAATGCTATTTGTTTACCGCCATCATCATCATCATCATCATTAATATCACATTATCGACATGATGGTTATACTGTTTCTGGTTATGGTCGTACATCGGAAAATGGTCAAGCAGCACCAGCATTAAAAGCAGTTAATGTAACCATAAGATCAGATTCGTAAGTGTTTTGTTTTTTTTCAATCTTCCCTTTGTTTGTCGGTTTTCTAATTTTTAATTTTAAATGATTAGTGAATGTAAACATGTTTATGATGATTTATATATACCGGAAAATATGATTTGTGCCGGTGATAAAGATAAAGATTCTTGTCAAGGTGATTCTGGTGGACCATTATTTCGTTTAGATCCATCATCGAATCGTTATATACTTTATGGTATTGTATCATATGGTGTTGGTTGTGGACGTGAAAAATATCCCGGTATTTATTCACGAGTAAGTTATTATTCAAATTGGATACAAAATCAAATTAAATCGATCGACAATAATCATCATCATCAACAACAACAACAACAACAAAATTATTTAAATATTTTAAAAAAACTTTTTAATTACAATTTTAATCATGAAGATGATGATGAAGATGAAGATGATTATGATTATAATGATGAAGAAGGGCTTTCAACAAAAAATCAATATAATAGTTTTTTTTAATGTTTATTAATATATAATTGGGATTTTAGAGAATTACAAAAAAAAATTTTATAAATAAAAAAAATGATTGATAATTATAATTATTATCGACCTAATGGTCTTGCTGTAACCCATGTTTCCACTCCACATTCATGACGACAATAACCTAATGCACGACGACAATCAAATGCATAACAACAATGACCAATACAATTACGTTGTTGATTATTACTATTACGTGCATCCCATGATGGATCAAAATAATATGGATCACATAAATATTTTTCACATTCTAATTTTTCACTTAATTTTAAACCAAAACGATTCGGTTTTTGACTACCACATTTACGACGACATTGTACTAAATGACCCCAATCACGACAATCAAATGCTAAACAACAATGTGCAATACAATTACAATGATTACGATTTGATTCATAACAATCTTTTCCTTCATCAAAATAACCATCCGTACAGTTTAATGTTTTTGGACATTGATTATTATTAATCAAACGATATATATTTGATGAATGTTGAAAATTTTTTGATGTCGATGTTGATGATGATGATTTTGATGATAAAATTTCAACAATATCCGATGTCGATGGTGATGTTGTATAAACAAAATGATTATTAAATTTATAAATTAACAACATAATAATGATTATAAGATTATACATTTTTGGATTGTTTTGTTTTGTTTTGCTGATGATTGACTAGATTATTATTATTCATAAAGAGAATTTTTTTTTAAAATTTTTATCGTAGAGCTGTGTGTGTGTTTCAATATTGATTCATTCATTCTTTCATTCAAACAAGGATAGATTCATGGATAATGATCATTTGATCAATGTTTTTATTTATTTTCTTGTTCATCTTACCTTCAATTTGAAGAAAGAAAAACAAATCTCGATGTCAGGATCATTTTTGTTTGTTTGTTTTTTTTTCCCAAAAACATTTTTCGAAATGTTTTTTTTTGTTTATTCATTTCCTTTGCAAAAAATATAAAACGATGCATCAACAAACAAACACATCATCATGGTCCTTTCCCATCACACTTTCAAACGAGCTTCAAATTTGTTCTTGAAGAGATTTTTTTGCTTCAAAATGAAAATGTGGAAAACAAAACAAATATATAAATCATCAGCTGAATGATGAGGATGTTTATTTATTTTGAATTTTTCAAATATAAAGAGAAATAGTGATCAATTTTCAAATAACAAACGGATAAGATTTCATCATCATTATTTCGAGAGAAGAAAAAAATTTCCACAAATTGAATTTCCTGAACCCAACAATTGTCACACACAAAACATAAAATCAAATGGATAAAATTTTTTTATTTCCAAATAACATACGGTTTCATTTCAATTTAGTTTTTAGTTTTGTAACGTTCACATTTTATATTTATAGTATTTATATATAGCCTGGTTGCAATATTGCATCAATTTTTTGTTCCTTAAGTGTCGTTTTTTGTTTTGTTTTGAAAAAAAAAATCAAATAAGTAAAGAAGAGAAAAATCAGTCAGAAAAGAGAGAGATCAAATAAACAAACAAACAAAAATGGAACGAAAGAGAAAGGAAAAGAAAAAGATGTGATAACGACGAAAAATGGATTTTGAATTTTACAAATTTTTTTTTTTTTGATTTCGATGAGACATGCACACAATGATTGAGAGAGAGAGAGAAAGGGAAAAATTTGGAATTTACAATTTTGTTTTTTTTTAAATCTATTTTTTCTCACTTTTTCTCTTTCTAATTTTTTGATATGAATTTGAGAAAAAAAAATTATTTTTAAAATCAAGAAATAAAATCAAAAAAAAACTACTAAATAATAATTTTGGAAGATGGAAAGTCAATCGAAGTTGTCCAAGACAAAAAACAAACCCAATCATTTTTGACAGAATTGGATTATTATGCATCCAGAATAAATTATTGATTGATTGATGGTGATTCTAGATTCTCTAAAATATAATCATCTAGAATTTTCAACGAAAAAACAAACAAAAAATCAAATTAATAAATCAGGATTTGATATGATAACAGCAATTCTATTTACCAATATTTCTATTTAATAAACCCAATTGTTTAACAAATAAATGATTAACACATTTAAGGCCAATACTACGTAATGGTGGTAATCGTAATAATAATTTAGCAAAACGACCAGGTTGATTTGGATAATGTGTTTTACAATGTTCTTCCAATGATGCATATACTTTATCTCGATATTGTTCAACATTTGAAACTGATTTAAGATTTTTCATTTCTAATTTGCCCAAAAACAAAACAAAACAAAAAAAATTAGTTAATTTTTTCAAAAGAAATTTCATTCAATATTTACCCGAATTAAATAAAACAACCGAACGTAAACAACCAATTTCAGTTTTATCCATTTGCATTTCACGCATTTTACTTACTAATTCGGTTAATACACGTTGAAATACTTCACCAATACCGGTACTTTTAGCCGCTTGTTCATTAATATAAAAACCATTTGATAATACTAATACTTTATCCGCTTCAATTGAACGATGTGCAAATTCAGCAATAAGCAATTCATTCCAACCGGATTTCATTAATAATACCTGATCATCAACTTGTAATTCCATAAAATGTGGTATCATACGAGCCCATTCAAATAATTGAGCAACTTGTTGTTTAACGGCATCAGTTATATCCATTATTCTTTCTTTACGTAATTTAATATCGATACGCATTTCAGCTTCACGAATCTGTTGTAATAATAGATCATGATTATAATTTGATGTTGATTCAACTTCATTATCATTTTTTTCTTTAGTACGTTGTCGTTCTTCTTGTACTGCTTCACGTTTCATACCCATTTGTAAACATTTTTGATATCGACAATATTGACAACGATTTCTTTGTTTTTTATCAATAATACAATTACGTTCTTCACGACATGCATAGAATAAATCTTTTCGTACGGTACGTTTAAAAAATCCTTTACAACCTTCACAACTATGAATAATGAATTCAGAAACAAAAAAATCAATTATTCTAAAATTTTTCACATTTTGACAATATTTACCTATAGACACCATAATGTTTACCGGATGCACGATCACCACAAATAGCGCATAAATGTTTTGATCCACTTAATGGATGATTTGGTGGATATGATCCTGATTGATTATTATTCTGATTATTATTATTAATATTTGTTGTTGATTGTGGTGAACCAACCGAACAACTTGCTACAATTTGTTGATTATTACCATTATTTAATTGTGGTGATGTTGATATTGGTGTTGGTGTAGTAGTTGTTGTTGTTGATGTTGATGATGTTGCCGTTGTTGATGAGGATGACATATTGTTCATTGATGTTGATGATGATGATGATGCTGGAAATAATGAATTTGATTGTGCTGATGATGATGATGATGATGTTACTGGAATTGTTGTTACTGTGGTTGTTGTTGTTGATGATGTCGATGGATATGGTGAGAATACATTCGTACTACTCGATGATGGTGATATTGATCCTATCGAACTGACAACACTATTTGGACCTGAACCATTTGTTGTTGTTATTATTCCGTTAGCGGCTATAAATAAATCAAAAAAAAAAAAAACAAAAATTTAAAATTTAAATTTCTGCCAGGGTTTGTAATTTTAAAGTTATTTAAAATTAAATAAAAACTATAAGCATCCATATACACCACCAACAACAACAACAGCGCAAATTAACAAATCAAATCAATCAATCATCGTCAAAGAAGATACCTGATGATGATAATGATGATTTACAATTAAAATTTAATGGATATAAAGAATTTGTTGAATTAAACCAATTTGAAATTGATGATGATGTTTCCGATTGTGATTGATGCGATTGTTGTTGTTGTTGTTGATAATGATCATTATGGTTAAAATTTTGCATATAAAATTGTGTTGAATTTGTTTCAATCGAATGTTGTTGTTGATGATGATGATGATGATGATATGGATGACGATGATGATGATGATAAAACATTGCTGGAAATGTTGTATCCGGATGACCATGACCATGACCATGTGGATGTGGATGATGAGGATAACCATATGAATTGGTCATCATCATTGTTTGATTAGCTTCATGATTATTATTATTATAATGATGATGATAATGTTGTTGTTGTTGATAATGATTAGTAATCATTTCATAACCATTATTATTATTATTATCAACATCCATTTTATCATTATTATCAATTTCACCATTAACATTATCATCATCATCATCATCATTATCACCATTATCATTATCATCACCATCTATATCATTATTATAATATGATAATAATTTTGGAATCAATTTATCATTATGCTGATCATGATTATTAGATGATGATTGCGATGGTTGTATTATCATATCATTTAATAATCTTTGATCATTTGAATTATAACCATTAAAACTTGAACAATGTAATGCTGTTATATCACAAAATAATTGATAATGTTGTTGTTGTTGTTGTTGTTGCGGATGTGTATCATCTTCATTAAGATGACCATTATGACCATTATTATCCATTTAGGTAGATATAGGTTGATCGTTATTGTTTCAACAATATTTTCTTCTTCTTCGGATTGAAACTTATTATCATTATCATCAACAACAGGATCGATCGATCGATTGAATTGAAATAAATCGGTTTGCTGAATCCAAAAAACGGATTTTCATTTTTGTCATCTCTTGATATTCAAATCAACCAAACATGTTATAATCGCTTTTTTAATTTCATCTAATAACCACTGCCAATTTTTTTTCCGAACGAGTAGTGGCAGCAGAAACCATAACCATCATCATCGTGAACAACAAGAATTATCAAATCAGTAAATCAATCAGATTGATTCGATTGATTGAGATAATGATTTTTTTGAAAAAAAAACAATTCTTCCAATCAATCAATAAAATTTCATCAAATGATCCATATTATCAATTAAATTTGAATGATTTTTTTTTTCGTTTTTGAAAAAAATTAAATGTCAAAACAAGAAAAAAAGAAATGCAAAATTCAATTGAGGTACTGGAATAATATTCGAATCAAACCAAAAAAAAAACCAGAAATTTTAACCGATTATCAAATTTCTATATAGATTTTTTTCTGTTCTGTTCCCAAAAATCAATCCGGCTAAAACTTCATAAAAAAAAATCCTCTTTATTTTGAAAAAAAAACAAACAAACATAAATAAACTGATCAAGAATTTCAAGGATAGATTATTATCGATGAAAATAGAATAGATTCGTGAATTGGTCAAAAAACTTTTTGACCTTCAAAACAAACAGAAACAGAATTTATGCAATCATCAATGTTGATAATCTGCTTATTAATTTCATTGTTGATGTTCATTTTTTTGATTTGGGCGCCCCAGAATGATGGTGTTGACACATTTTTTTTCATTTTCATGCTGCTGCTGCTGTCAATTTACGTAAAAATTCACAAAAAAAAATCAAGAATACAAAAAAAGAGAAACAAACTAACAAAAATCCAAATAAACTACACTTGTGAATCAATTTTTTCGTTTGTTGAAAATGAATAAATTTGACTTTTGATTTTTTTGAAGAAAAAAATCATCTTCAAACATGGATAATTAAATAGTATCGTTGAACCGAATCTTGATAAATATCGTTAATCATCGAAGCCGAATCGAATCGATTTTTTTCAAAATTTAAATTTAATTGAAATTTTGTCTATTGTCGTTGTTGTTGTAATTGATTCTTTGCCCTTTTTTTTGGATTTAAATTAGTAATTTAAATCGCTAATGATGTTCACAAACAATTTCAGTTTTTCTGGTTTTTTAATGTGTCTGCGAAATCAAAATCAAAATCAAAATCGAATCGAATCGAATCGAATCAAAATGAAATCGAACGATTAAACAAAAAACAATGAAACTTATTCATTAAAAAAAAAATTCTTAAACATTTCGCCATCTAGTGACGCAGAATTCAATTTCAAATATTCATTGATGATTTATTTTGGTTTTTGTTTTTTTTTACAAATTTCGATTTTAAAAAATTTGCGTTTTTGTTGTTGGTTATGAAGATCGCAAACAATGGATGCTTAAAGACGCAAAAAAACAACAACACAATTATTCAGATAAAACTTACCATGATAAAGTGATTCATCCAATGATTCATCTTGTTCAATTTTGATTTGTAACACTAATTTTGTAAAATTTTGTAAAATTTTTGTAAATTATTATTGAAAATTTTGTTTCTGGTTTTGATTTTTTTCCACCTACTATTATTATTGGATTCCGGTATGGACATTTTCTTTTCTCTGCGAGAAAAAGAGAAAAAACATTCAGAAAATTTTTTCTTCTTCAATGTATTTCACCGGCAAAATGAGCAAAAGTTTTTTTTTGAAATTTTAAAAATTCAATTGAAAATAACAAAGATTATTATGATGATGCAATGAGGACTTTCGATGAGTAAAAGCAATAAATAATGAACAATGTCATCATCAGGAATTTTAAAAGTTTTTTTGTTTTATGTGGGAAGATCAATAATCAATCAATCAATCAACGATTTTTTATTTGTAAATTTGAAGAAAACTTTTCTTTTTTTTTGTTTGTTTGTAATTTGCATCATTAATAGAATGTAACATGTGAAACACCATCACCACTTACACAACAACAAAAACAAAAACAAAATAATTTGATCCAGGAACAAATCACCTTTATTCACCACCACAACAACCACCACCATTCACACACACACATGAACAACACAAACACAAACACAGTGAGAGAATATTTGATGATCCAGAATATTATGGAATTAGATTCCCTCTCTCATTCACTTTTGTTTGGAAAAATTATTCTTAGAATCAAGATTCTTTGTTGTTGTTGTTATTATTGCTTCCTAATATCTTTTATTGTCAGTGTGTGTTATATCATCAGTCAGATTATTTATTTTCCAAAAAAAAAAGTACCACCTTCATCATCATTCAAACTCATGAGCACATTTTCGATTTTACTTTTCTTTTTTCTTCTTCTTCTCTTTCTTCTTTATTTCACTTTCTTTATTCACAAAAATNAAAACTTACCATGATAAAGTGATTCATCCAATGATTCATCTTGTTCAATTTTGATTTGTAACACTAATTTTGTAAAATTTTGTAAATTTTTTGTAAATTATTATTGAAAAATTTTTTTCTGATTTGGTTTTCCACCTACTATTATTATTGGATTCCGGTATGGACATTTTCTTTTCTCGGCGAGAAAAAAGAGAAAAAACATTCAGAAAATTTCAATTATTTTTTCTTCTTCAATGATGAATTTCACCGGCACAATGAGCAAAAGTTTTTTTGAAATTTTAAAAATTCAATTCAAAATAACAATGATTATTATGATGATGCAATGAGGATTTTCGATGATTAAAAGCAATAAATAATGAATAATGTCATCAGGAATTTTAAAAGTTTTTTTGTTTTATGTGGGAAGATCAATCAATCAAATCAATCAATGATTTTCTATTCAAATTTGAAGAAATCTTGTTTTGTAATTTACATTCATTAATAACACGTGAAACACCATCACTTACACAACAACAAAAACAAAAACAAAATAATTTGATCCAGGAACAGATCAAAAATCACCTTTATTCACCACCACCACCACCATTCACACACACACACACATGAACAACACAAACACAAACACATATAAACAGAGAGAGAATATTTGATGATCCAGAATATTATGGAATTATAGATTCCCTCTCTCATTCACTTTTGTTTGGAAAAATTATTCTTAGAATCTTTGTTGTTGTTATTATTATTATTGCTTCCTAATTTATTGTCAGTGTGTGTTATATCATCAGTCAGATTATTTATTTTCCCAAAAAAAAAGTACCACCTTCATCATCATTCAAACTCATGAGCACATTTTCGATTT